AGCTCACATTCTCCTTTTTGTGCAGTCCTGGATCCCAGCCTAGGGAATAGCAAGGTCCATATTAGAGATAATTTTTCCCTCCTTCATTTAACCATTTAGGAAACACTTTCACAGACACAACCAGACCTACGTTTCTATGGAAATTCTAAATCCAATAAAACTGGCATTGAGATTAACCACCTCACATACTTGGAAGTGGTAGAACACCGTGATGTCTATGCTTCGGTGACAACTGGTGCTTTGCTGAAAAACTGGTGACCAACGGGGACAATGGAAGGACATCAGAACCATTTGCTGGCCTGTGAATAAATTTGATGGGTAGCAACAAGATTAGAAGGGTACATGGTTATATCGCTAGCAGCACATAGCCTTGGACTACGGTCACGCCTCTTAAAATCTGTTAGAATGTCTTCAGTGAACATGGAATACATCGGAGACAACCTAACAGGCACATATCTGACAAGGTAATTTTAAAAGTCCATTTATTGCTTCCTCATATTGGCACAGCCATATCTGAATGGAATGACAGAAGTCATAAAGCCAGCACAGCTGCTTGACAAAGCTCCAGCAGAGCTGAGCCACATGATGGCTGCCATGCCACCCTTTGGTTTTCATCTCCACCTATTACATACTTGGGGCACTTTTAATATTTGTATAATTTGGGGATATTGGATTGATGGAAAATTCCTTATGAATCATTTAAGCCTTCTCCCAGGAATGCTGGTTCTAAGCTTCCCCAGGACAGTCCTGAACATACTATTCCCCCCTCTTTTAGGGAGATATCCTTATCTACTTGAAGGTCTTCCTTATGCTTTGGAGGTTGTGACACATAAAGAAGCCAGAGGTCTCTTCATGAGGCTATGAGACATCCTTGAAACATCCATCCCTGTATTTACTCAGGAACAAGATAATCAAAACAAAGTAAATTCAAAAAGGTCAACAAGATTCAGTGGACTAGAGGAGTTGGCCACAGTTCAGATTACAAGCCTCTTCCCACTGTAAACTCAGACAATTTTGTGACATACAATTCTGACCTACACAGAGACATATTGATGAGCAAAGTATGGAGTGGAAAAATGATAAAAGTATGAGGTGTCAGGACCTCCTTCTCTCAGAAGTTAACTCATGTAGAGCCACTATAATGTCATATGACCAAGGAACAACAGAATGCCAGGATTAGATATATAGACAAATTCTATAAAGATATAAATGTGAACATTGATTGTATTATGCCAGAATTTGAATAATAACTGCAGCAGCTTTGGCCTGAGGATTTTTCCTGGGTGCTCTGACACTAAGAGTTAATAATACACTGCTTGGGATGTGGAAAAATGCCCAGGGTGGTTGAAGATTTTTGTTTTGGTCTAGTGTCCTTGAAGCAACCAAAGCTACCAGCCTGAGAACAGGCTGTCATATGCCTCTAGATTCTCAAAAATTGGGTTATGGGGTTAATGAGTAAGAATGACAACTGTTTATTAATGATGTCAAAATGAGGGAAAATGATTTGAAATGATAATTCTGTTGTGTCATAGTTTATTAATGATGACTCAAAGATGGGCAAAAAGAAGTGAAACACATGTCCAAAAACAGAAATAATATGATCTATGTTTTGGATCATCATGAATGTATCCCCACTTACTAAATGTTGTATAAGTAAAGAAACACTCTGGCTGCTAGTCAGTCAGGCTGCAAAATTCTCCTGAACACCATGGCCTGGCTCACTTCCTTCCCCCCACTGACTCCTTACACCCTCTGCAGGAACCATCTGCCACCTGGGATGGCTCCTGGCACCATATCCTGTGGGATGTAGCGCAAATGCCTAGAAATGATCCTGACCATAATCTACACTTTTCCGTATCATCTCTTACCACTTTATATCCACCTTCAACACTAAGCTGCCATAAGTCTTAAGCAATTCTGTCTCCTTCTCCGCGTGTGCGTGTGCGTGTGTGTGTGTGTGTGTGTGTGTGTGTGTGTGTGTGTGTGTGTGTGTGTATGTATGTGTATCCTCTATTTCTCATGCTATCTTTTACCTCAAATATCTTTTCTCACACTTGACCCAAACTCAGGTCATACTGGGGACCTTTCTATGAGGTGATTCTGTCAACTCAGGGCCACACCTCCTCCTGTGTATCATTGTTTGTTCTTAAGTGTCTGTTCTCTTTGCTAGGCTCTGTCCTCAATGCTGGACACACAGGGGGTGACCAATGTGAAATTGCTGGATGAATACGTGGAAGTTGATGAAAACTAGAGATTAGAAAATAGCTTAACTACAAAATTATAAGATATGGTCTACAGGAAAGTAGAACAATTTTGCAAATAAGAAAATGATTTTACATTCATGTAAACTGATTTTCCAAGTTCTGCTATTAATTCTAATTAGTGGTTGTGGTTGTTGGTTCCTTTAGTAAACTTTTTGAGCAATATTCCATATGGTGCTGATTGGTATTTACCAATTTTTTTCTTTTCATCTAATGTCAAGAGAGTGAGAGAAGTATTGTACACTTGCCGTGGTAAGCAATCCCGAGTGTCTTATTCATAGAACCTCACTTAATTGATGGCTAGAGTAGTGCTTGGAAACAATACTGTCTTATTTTTTTGTTGTTGTTTTTTGTTTTTGGTTTTTTGAGACAGAGTTTCTCTGTGTAACCCCCCTGGCTGTCCTGGAACTCACTTTATACACTAGGCTGGCCTCTAGCTCACAAAAAATCCACCTGCCTCTGCCTACTGAATGTTAGGATTAAAGGCGTGCACCACTACCACCAAGCTAACAATGCTGTCTTAAATGTTGAGTTTCCAGGGTCGGTTTTATATATTGGATTGTGGCTTTATCCTAACTAACAAACCTTAAGCTTGAACTATAAGTTATATGGGCACATATATACATGTGTGAGTTGAATTCAAGAACAAGAGAACCAAGAGTTTGAGATCTCAAATTTTTTGTTTTGTTTTTCGAGACAGGGTTTCTCTGTAGTTTTGCGCCTTTCCTGCAACTCACTTTGTAGATCAGGCTGGCCTCAAACTCACAGAGATCCTCCTGCCTCTGCCTCCCGAGTGCTGGGATTAAAGGCGTGCACCACCACTGCCCGGCTAAGATCTCAAATTTATTCCAGACCAGTTAATGCTTCCATTTGCAAGTAGGAAATGTATAGCCCCATGGATAAATAACTATTCCTTAGAGGAACCAGGGAAAGAATTCTGGTTACCTTACTCTTTCAGATGAATGTGAATTTTCGAGCAAGGGTAGCCACGTGGGAACATTACACGATGCACCAGGACCCTTCTGAGTAATTCAATTTTATTAATAAAGATAAAGGCTTGTCCCATAGGCCTTGTCACTGTGCCTTGCAGCCCTGCTGCTCCTGATGCCTATTCTTTCTCTTCTTTGGGAATCCATGATTGTTAAAAACCTGTGATCATAACCATTAGGAGAAGACATAGCTTCTTATAGATGAAACTGCAGAAAGAAAGCTTTCTCTTGTGAGAAAACTGCTAGATTATAAATTAACAGCATGTGGCAGTAGTCGTAGCATAAGTAGTTTAGCAGTTATAAAAACAACGGTGGTAGTTGTAAGAGCTACAGTAACAGTAATCGCAGCAGTTACTTTACCTCTACATAGCGATGGTCATCAGAATATGTTATCAAAGATGTGTACTCGTGGGCAAGCATCACCATTCTCTGTATAAGTGAAGGTTGTAAGTACTCAGCTCATTTTCCCAGAGGCCGCACAACAGTATAGCATTTGTAGGTAGCAGTACACTTAGTGCATTTGCAAACTAATTCAATTTGAGTTGGACTGTAATTTAGCTCCCTGCCTTGTTATACACAGGAATGTGTTTATGCACAGTTCACATGAATATGAATGCAAGGATTTCCCTTCATTAATAAAGAGGAATTACCCAGGACAATATTGGTGCACCTGCTCAACTTGTAAGGTCCCTACACACTTATACTTACTTGAAAATTCACATTCATCTGTGTCTTATCAGAAACTAAGCCAGATGTCGGCTCAGAGTGCAAGGGCTCTTGGCACCAAAGCCCGAAGAACTGGGTTGGATTCCAACCCACAGAGTAGAAAGAGAAAACTAATTCATTTAAATTGTTTCCTGATCTCCATATACACTCTATGATATTCGTGCATGCAGGTGTACACACACACACACACACACACACACACACACACACACACACACACACGAAAAAAGCTTTACTATTTGTGGCATCTTAGGAGAGTTATTTTGTTGTTGTTGTTTTGTTTTATTTTTTGAGACAGAGTTTCTCTGTGTAGATTTGCGCCTTTCCTGGAACTTACTCTGTAGCCCAGGCTGGCCTCGAACTCACAGAGATCTGCCTGCCTCTGCCTCCCGAGTGCTGGGATTAAAGGCGTGTGCCGCCACCACCTGGCATGCACACACTTAGGAGAGTTATTTAACCTTGTATGTTCAGCTTCAATTACCTTGTCCATAAACTTGTGGCACACAATGTAATCTGATATTTGTCCTCTGTTAAGTTAATGATATGTGGAATCTCATGACTGCTTTATCAACCAAGAGTCATAGTCACCTTTGTTTCATGATGTTAGAGCCAAGCTTTAGGTTTTGCCATGTCAGTGGAAGAACTGTATAATTAGTTGTAACTGTAATCTGATTGTATTTTTTTTTCTTTCCCCATAGCCCACCTCCCTGCCAGAGTAATAAGAAAATACTTGGTCGCATCTTTCTCCTATTGAAATAAAGTTATTTAGTAACTAGCCACTTCCCCTAGCTGTTCTGTTCAAAGTTCTAAATTCTTTTTATTATTATTTATTGAAAATAGATTCTTCTCCTATACAATTCATCTCAACCACAGTTTCCCCTCCCTCCACTCCTCTCAGCTCCCCACCACCTCCCCTCTGCCCCAAATCCACTCCCCCTTCATCTAAATTCTTTATTTTAATCTTAAATTTGGGGAATCAATATGTATCTGTGTATTCATTGGAATTTTCTTTATCATCTTTCAGGTCTTACAGAAATTTGCCTGATGCACCCTCTGGACGTGGTGAAAACCAGGTAAGGTTCTGCATGAACAAGTTGTATTGACTTTGGCTGATGTCCAAGTTAAGATCTGTCAGAACACTAAATGCTAGAACTTGTCCCAGGCCGGTAGCTTCTCCCTATAATGGCATCTAAATGTGCTTTTCAAAGAAAGTACCATTGACATATAAAACGTGAACAGTGAGAAGCATCTTTGGAGAAAGGTCATCTGAAGGTATGCAGTGTTTACCGCTGTCACCCGGCAAGTGGAAGGTATGATTTGTGGTATACTGGTACATGAGGTAAATTTACCAAATTGGTGTAAAAACTGAACATTATCTAGTGGATTATGACAGCAGCTTTTCATTTGGCACAGCACATAACAGATTGCTGTCTAATAGTCAGAATTTTTATTTCAGGTGAGCTTTTTAAATGACAGTTAAAGAATTTATCCCTAAAACTCTTTGCCAATGCAAATGCTGTATTTCCATGAAAAGGCTTCTGCTTATAAGGAAAGAGAAAACCTAGAACAACGTGTTAAACCTATCCACCAAGAATGAAAACAAAGTAAAAAAGCAGAACCAAAAATAACCAGGCTGTGAGGTTTAATATGATCACTGTAGAGCATTTTGGGGAGGTGGGTTTTTTCTTTAAAATGTTTTCTTTTTCCTTTTTGAGCTTCTAATATAATCATTTCCCCTTCACTTTCTCCCCTCCAAACTCCCCCATGCACTCCTCCATCATGGTCACTTCCAAATTCATGGACTCTTTTTCTTTCATTTTTTTGGTTGTTGTTTTGTTTTGTTACTGTTGTTGTTGTTGTTGTTGTGTGTGTGTTCCTAAATGCATAAATACAATCTTCTCAGACTGTATGATGTTACTTGTGTGTATGTTTTCAGATATGACCATTTGGTATTGGATACCAACGGGTAAGCTCTTCTTCCCTGGGGAAAATTCGAGAACATTTTAAAAGTTAAAACTATGGGGAAATTATTGAACTTTATTTTTTTGAAACTAGATGTGTTGAGTGTATAGTGAATGTTTCCATATATTTGCATTATATAAAACCCAAGAACACCAGCTTCTGTTGGAGCCCACTAGCATTGCAACACTGATTTTGTATTTGCACAAATCATTGCTTCCTCAGTTGGGAATTACTTGATGAGTCAGAGTGGTCATTTTATGGACACTTTATTTAATTTACCCAAAGGGGCCTCTGAATTCAAATTTTCTTAACATTTAGTTTGTGTGTGTGTGTGTGTGTGTGTGTGTGTGTGTGTGTGTGTGTGTGTGTTATGTGAGTGCCATGACTCACTTGTGGAACTCAGGGGATAATTTATGGGATTGGGTTCTCTCTTACCACTGTGTGAGTTCTAAGAATCAAAGTCAGATCATCAGCCTTAGCAGCAGGTAACCTTCCCCATCGAGCCATTGAGCCAGCCCCTGCAGAATTACAGAGTGGTGATTGAAAGCAAAGGAAAATGACTTTTCTTTTATATACAAATAATATCACCTTTATAGTTGTTGAGACAATAGGATTTGACTTGTGACTGAACCTCAAAGCTGTCATCAAATACCACAGCTTAACCAAAAGACATTTCTTTCCCATGGTTTTGGACGCTAGAAAGTTCAAGATCAAGGTTGGGATTCACTCAGTTCTTACTGTCGTCTTCTTCCTGACTCACAGGCATGGTACTTCTACTCAGAGAAGCTCTGTGGTCTCTTACTTCTCTTGTAAAATCACTAATTCTATCAAGATGGAACCAACACTTATGACTTCATGTGACCCCATCACCTTCCATTGTCTACTTTCAAATACTACCACATTGGTGGTTAGAGTGCCAACATTTGAATTATGGCAGGACACAAACATTCAGCAGCTCCAAGTCATTAAAATAAAACAAAAGAAGAAAATCACAGTTGTTAAACAGTTGATAGACATTGACCTTTAGAACATCTCCTCAAGGGTTTCAGGAACAGAAGGCAAAACCTACAGGCCTTTTCTCCTTAGATTGTTCTAACTTTCTATGGAAAGCCAGAATATTACTGCTAGTCTTACTGAGTAATTCATTTTCTTTTTTACAAAGCATGATGTTTTTATGTTTGAATAAGCTTAGAAAGAATTAAGAACAATTTGAATAAAACATGATACTAAAATTATGATCACTCAGTCATTCCCATAGTCCTCGTTCATCTACTCAACAGGTGTATATTTAGTATCTAGCATGCAGCTTCCAGGCTAGCCATGCTCTCCTGAATCTCCTGATCTGAGGCCCTGTGGAGAATCTCATTAACATCAACTTCAAAGGCCATCTCCTTTCCTTGGGCTGAATTTGAATTGTGCATTGCTTGAAATACATTTACCAAGTAACTATAACCTTATTTATTCTTTGCTAAATATCAGCACTTCCATGAACATAACATTCATTAATTGGAATTGGTCATGTGCTGTTGTGGAATATTATCTTAACTATGTAAAGATGTGTTACATTTGTTTATGTTACAGAATATCACTTTAACTATGTAGAGGTGTGTTACATTTGTTTATGTTGCAGAATATTACTCTAACTATGTAAAGGTGTGTTACATTTGTTTATGCTGCATTTGTTTAATTACGTAAAGGTGTGTTGCTTTTGTTTATGATGCATTTGTTTAATTATGTAAAGATGTGTTGCTGTTGGACCTTGCCTGCCTAAGGCATCTTATTGGTCTAATAAAAAGCTGAATGGCCAAGAGCTAGGCAGTAGAGGGATAGGCAGGGCTGGGGGGGGGGCAGAGAGAATAAGTAGTAGGAGGAATCTAGGCTTGAGGAAGAGAAGAGAGATGAGGGAGAAAGAGAGGGAGATGCCTGGGGCCAGCCAGGCCAGCCAGCCAGACATGGAAGAAGCAGGAAAGGTAGGACATACAGAATGAAAGAAAGGTAAAATGTCCCCAGGCAAAACATAGATGAAGAGAAACAGGTCAAATTAAGTTATAAGAGCTAGTGGGACAATTATAAGATAAAGCCAATTATTCATAATTAATAATGAGTTTCCATGTCATGATTTGGGAGCTGGTTGGTGGCCCAAAAAGAAACTTGCTACATGTGCCCTTGCCTACTTTGAAGAGAGAGGGATATATCACCCTTGCAGGTGTCCTGAAGGAGAGAGTTGGATGGTAGATTGGCAGCTGACCTGTACAACAATAGAAAATGTACTGAATAGACACCCTATTCACAGTCTAGGACCTATATATGTAGAACTCCTTTTGCAAGAGAAATGAACTATGTGCAATTTGTAGGACTTAACACTAAGTCACTAACAAGATAGTCACTGGACAGGAACAGATGAGAATGCCGGACACATCACTGTTCTGGGGGAGATAACTTCCTTTCTTAAAGTTTAAGAGGTGACTTTGTTTTTCAATAAAAGTGTTTTGAGAATTACAAATTAGAAAGGAAAATTGGAGTTCTGCATAGAAGCCTAGTGAATGCATGTCACCTGGGCATGAAGGCTCTCAAAGCTATCTTTTTGGAAACATTCACTGACACTTTCAGTTAGAATGCTTTCTTAAGATGACTGTATTTTTCTTTCTGATAGAAGTACAGAGATCTGCCTATGAGGTTTTCTTGCTACAAAATCAGTGACTGAACCCAAGTAAACTTCTGCTTTCAATATAACCTACCAGTGTTTAGGAAATAAAGGATTTGGGGGATTACATTACATCTTGATTTTGAATTATGTGTTATTCCCTCAGGATAAACTTAGATATACCAATTTCTTGGCTAAAAAGAATGGCACCTTCCAAATGTGTAATTTCTGTTCAGTCTGGTGGCACTTGTTGGGATCTTCTACCAGTTCAAAAACTTTCAAAGTATTTATTTTAACTTGATTTTTACCTATAATGTGGCTGCATTTTCCCTATAATGATTATATACAAAGATTGATATCAATGAAAATCAGAATCCAGCTACTAAAATAAATGGATTAATCATATATAGAATAACTATTTGTATTAGGAATTAAAGACCAGTACCTAGGATATGTTCATAACTAGATGTGCAAAGCATTATGAATTTATCTACAGGATGAAGTCAATCTACCAGAACCAACTGGGGCAATATAATGGTTATGCTTCATTCTTTACAGCAAATACTCCAAGGCAATATGAAATGTAGAACAAAACATTTTGAAATAGGTTAAAATTCATACCAAGTAAAACACAATGGATCATTTACAGAGAGGAAAAGGTCTTTTTGCAGAAAGAATTGGAAAGTAAGTTTTTATAATCCTTTCTTCTTCATTCAGGAAAGGAAAGGATTAGACACAGACAGAGGTCAGAAATAAAAGACTAGACTTCCTGAAGCAAACCGTTTTACATGGGATAATGTGGGAAGCAAGCTATATCCACAATTCAAGATTAATTCAGTGTACCACTCTTCAAGCCGTGATACCAAAGGAAAGCAGAGAAAAGCCTGAAAATGACAGGGTAGACATGTACGCTTATGCCCAATGCCTATAACAACTTAGAGTTCACTGCCCTTAGAGGGCACACCATTTCAAAGCAGCCTGCTGAAACAGCCAGTGCTTGGTGGATTCATGTCTTATTTCTTAAGTGAATCTCATTCACCTCTTGATTCATCAAAACAGTAAGTGTTCACTGTATAAAATTCAAATCATACTCTAATTCTTATGTCCGTTAAGATAGGTTAGGTTGTAACAAGCCTGGATCTCAGGAGATTACAGCAAAGAATCTTTTTCTCATCCCCATCTTATGTCCAATATGAGTAGATACATACAATAGCCCATTTGTGCTGCTGTAATTAAATTCCATAAACTGAGTCCTTGTAATCAAAAGAAATCTTTCAGTTGTGGGAACTGGCTTCTACAGATTTCTTTTTCCCCACAGGTTCCATATCTGGTATCTGGTGAAGGCCTGTTTCCTCATTCATAGACAGCACCTTATCATTGGGTGCTCACGTGGTAGAAGAAGCAAGCTAGCATTTGGAGTCATAGCTATAAGGACATTAACCCCATTCATAAAGGACACACTAACGG